CATAGATCATATACTCATAACATTTCATATGCCATTATTCAAAGTATTATTTCTTCCATAGAACATGTTTACATAATTCATATATTTATAGTATTTCACATAGAATGTATATATATATATATACTCATATCAATAAAATTTAAACATTTCTCTTAAAATATGATTTAACTAAAACCATAAATAATACCAATCATTTTGTTTAAAAACATCTGAGGTTGGCTTCTCACAAGCCGTCCTCCAATCATAAATATAGAATAAGTAAATAGCACCCACCTTTGCCTCACTTAAGCCCTAAGCAAGTCCGTTTCACTTTCACCTTATCCTTATACGTCAATTCATTCGGCACTTGCTTTCAATCGAATCTACACATTAACATGATCAATATGAATATCAGATCTCAATTAACATCTAACCAATTAACCTTTACTTAAGAGAAAAGAAACACCAAATTTAACATTTTAGACTGAATAGTATCGATACTCTTCATCTAGTACCGATACTTCTCTTCTATGGTACCAATACCTACTTTAGTATCGATACCATTTCAACATTCTGGAATTTCATCTTTACTTACAATATCGATACCTTATCCTTGGTATCAATACCTTCACATCAGTATCGATACTTCTTCAACCAGTATCGATATTGTTCATCTAGTTCATACTATTTCCTTCAATTTAACCTTATATTATCGGTATTGTTCTTCCAATACTGATACCCTTACCCAGAAATCACTTATTTCATTTCAAAATTTACCCAAAACTCACTTAAATCTCTTACCATTAACTCTATGTATGCTTTTAAACTCCTTATCCCTTACCCCAACTAACTTATATCCAATAATCTCCTTTTAACATCCAAATTTATCCATATAACTCTTGAGATTAAAAATCATATTAAATTTTCAAACGTTTTCTCAATCATTTCTGAGACTTCAATTACCTTAATTAACCAATAATTCCATCATTTCACTCAAAAGTAACTACCCAAATTTCATCATTTCACTAAAAAACCCACTTTACTAATTCACCAATAATTCCTCAATCATTTATCTTCTAATCATCTTTAAGATTCCTTAAGTTTCTATACCACCCAAGGATTAAAAACCAACTCAAAAACGAAAGAAAACCCAACTTGAAAATTAACTCACATTAACAATGGAGCTTCACGTAAAGAGAAAGAAGAAAAGCAAAGAAGAAGAGTATACAGAAATTTCATTTTCCCACAAGCCATGTATCTTTAGGAAATAAATTTTAAATTCCTTTCTTGCTAAAAGACCATAATGCCCCTCCATTTTTCACTCTTTGATAATAAGTCCTAAACACAAATTTCCAAATTAATCCTTGAACTTTTCAATTTATCAAAATTAAACCATTAACTTTTAAATCCTTACACTTTAGTTACTGACCCGAGGTTTGGGGTATTACACAACTCCTCTCTTTTCGGCCAAAGACATCACCAAAGGACCTAAGTATTCAAAGCAAGGCCCAAACCATTTCCTCAACAATCGACAATGAATGGATTTCATCATTCATTAAAACAACATGTACTTACAACGGAATGCACCTAACCGAATCATTGTATACCTTTTCGACCATTCCTTTTTATTTCCTATAAATTATGAATTCCTTGGCATTTGTAAGGCATCTCTCATTGCATCAATTTTATCCTTAATGAGAATTTTCTCTCTATTTTGTTCTTTAAAAACTATATCGACTTATCAAGTGCATTTGTGCTTTTGGCATCAATCCCTTTTCTTTTCCATTGATACTTGTGTTTCAGATTTCATTATAACTAGAGGGGTCAAGTCCTTATCTACCACCCCTTAAACGAACATATAAGATCTGGGGTTAGGTTCTTTCATGGCCTAATTTCTTCCTTGTTTGTTTAAGATACTAATTTTACCATACCACCACTTTCTTTCCACCTTAGCCGTGCCATCACCCTTAATAACCATTCCTTTTATTTATTTCCATATCATCATCTTCATCTATTACTTCCGCAACCTATACTATTACCTATCATCTACTACCCTAACCCTTCAATTTGAGCCTATCTTATCCCAATATTGCTTGCTTATTTTCTAGATCCACAATCCATATCATCATCTTCATCTATTACTTCAGCAACCTATACTATAACCTATCATCTACTACCTATCATCTACTACCCTAACCCTTCAATTTGAGCCTATCTTATCCCAGTATTGCTTGCTTATTTTCTAGATCCACAATCAGTTGCCTATCATCTTCAACATATTCAAGGCGTGCACTCAACCACCATATATCATTGTTAGTCACTGACTGTTGGTATTCCTTGTTTTTCTTTACTTTCTTATCACACATCTTTATTTTTCTTTGTTTTTTTAGTTTCTAATGCATCTACCTTTATTACACGTTTTCATTTGTCTTTTAGCACATTTTAGATCTTTTTTATTGGTCGTTTAATCGTTTTTTGTTTATTTTTCTTAGGGTTGAATTTAGTGTCACCCATGCTCGTATTTGAGCATGGGCAAGAGGGGCACTTACCCAGGGCCCCCTCTTGCCTGGGTAACATAGTTGATTTGAAAAGAATAGATATAATCTTTAGGGGTAAGGTTATAAAAACTAAAAAAATAGATTTCCTATGAACCAATCTCATTACATTGAAAAAATATTAAAGAAATTTAATAGCTATGAGATAATCCCTTCTAAAACTTTTTACAACTCTAACATCTAATTGGTAAAAAACAAAGGAAGTAGTATTTCCCGAACTGCATCTACTAAGATTATTGAAAACCAAATGTTCTTAATGAATTATACTCACCTTGATATTTATTGTCTATGTGATGAGTAGACCAAGTAGATATACTCATAATCTAGTATTGAGAATTGAAAATCAAAATTTTTTCCCTATAGTGTAAGATCTTATATGAAAAAAACAAACAATAATATTTAAAGAAACAACCCAAGAACAAAAGAGTTAAATATTTTACGTACAAGTAGCTGAGTTTCTTCTGGTTTTGGAGAAAACGCTTCTCTTACCTTCACCACTCCATGTGCGAGTGATGAAGTTGCATAATTAATCATATGCTAATGGTCTCAACCAAATATTTGTTGATAGATTTTTAGTTGTTAGTATTTGAATAATATAATGGTGGATTTATTAGTTGAAGAGGATTCCATGTTTTAATGTTAACATTGAGTTGATGTGGGGTTTCTTAACATTTGAAATATATTAAATTAATTGATAGCCTAATCCAAGTATCAACACATTATTGGACGGGCACCAATAGGGGCAGAAGAATTATGTTTAGTTTTAGAAACTACGACGAGTTTTGGATCAGAAACCCTGAAAACTTATGATAGAGGAAGAACTTCAAATAAAAGCTTTTTTTGGAAAGAAAAAAGCAAAAGTGGAGATCAACGATTCCATGTTAATAGTGGTGGATCTAGAAATATTTTTTAGGGTGTGCACATATATATTAATAATAAAATAATTTCGTATGGGATAAAATTTCAGGATGGACACCTTAAGTAAAATGAACAACTAATATAAAGAAATTCAAATTCCAGGGTGGACACCTTCAGTAAAATGAGGAACTAGTATAAAGAAATTCGAATTCCAGGGTGGGCACGTGCCCGCCCTAGGATATACATGCATCCGCCAGTGCATGTTAAGTACTGGGAGAAGAGGAGAAATGCTGACACCTTGTGTTTCTATGAAGGAGAATGTCAACTGTGTATGCATGTCCATCAATGTAGTTGGAAAACCAGTAAAAACACAAGGGATCGAAACTCAAGAAACCAGAACTTAAAGGGGGAAAAAAGAACTTGTTCATCAACTCATAAACCCCTATCGACAAACACTCTTTAAATGAGAACATTTATAGGTGGTAGCAAAGAGTTACCATCCTTCCAGTAATGGAGGATTATTGTGTCTGAAGATGGAACTTGGAAGCAAAATGTACATCGATTCTACTTGAAGTCTTAAACTTGTCATTTTCTTTAAGCTGATTCTTATACTTATTTTTCATACTCAAATTTTTTAAGTCGAATTGAATGAAAATTTAGATTTGGGTTTGGTGAAAACAAAGAAGTAAAATAGCAAAACAATCTTTCTCATTTTTTTTTAATGATGTTTTTTTTATTAAATGAGTCAAAGGTCGGTTAATTGTGCCAAATAAGTCAGTTTAATATGTCGCATCAGCCTTTCGTTAATGGGGTGACGGCTATTAATGGTTGAACGACCGATTTGTTACAAATTAATAACGTTAGTAATTAATTTGTTACTTTTAAAACTTTAGCGGATAAAACAAACACTTAAATCAAACATTAGTCACTATTTGTGTAGTTTACCCTAAAAAATAGATGTCTAATTATTAAAGCGGCATATGATGACATGTGAAACTATCCTAATTCCTAAGAACTAATCCATGCATTGCATGCAATACGAGTTAGTTACCACTGTAACCCAATCCATGGAAAGTGGAAAACACCTTTTAAATTTAAAATCCAATAATTAGAAATTGTAATAATATGTTCTTTTTAAAATGTAATTATGAAATTTCAGCCATCGTTTTATTTTTCTGTTTCTTCATCAAATAACCTGGATGTGGAGGTCTCCCGCATATTGTTTGAAAAGAGACGAAACTCAAAGCACATTGATCTCTTTGTGAACTCATCTCTTCCTCGTTATCTATTTAAATTTCGTTTTTAGGATTTTTCATTACAAATTTTGAACAAATTCAAAAGCTTTTCTTTCCCATTGGATTGATGAAGGAAATCAGCATCTGGGATCTATTATTTTGGATTTGTGGGGTGCATGCATTTTGTTGGTTTTCCTAGAAGATGTTGTTTGGTCCAGAAGAAACGATGGACTTTGGGGTTTGTTCTAGGCCTTTGATCTTATTCGATTTTTGTTTGTTCTTTAATGGAATTATCAGGGACCCATTTTGATTTTGGGATTCAAAAGTGAGGGTTGATAATTACTAGGATCTGATCAGGATTTGGGAAATTTTGATGGGGAACGCTTGTGTAGGAGTAGGACCAAGTAATGTTTGTGGTGCGACTAGGTTTTTTCAATCTGTCACACAGGCGGTCTGGCGGCCGACTATCGAGGACCCGTTGCTGGCGGCTAATGATGATAACAGCAACAAAACCGGTGAAGGAAATGCGATTGAGATCCCGGTTGAGGAATCCAAGAAGGATGAACCAAGTAAGCCAAAACCCCAAAGGCCAAAACACATGAAAAAGCTGTCAACCATGCAACTCGAGTCAGTGCTGGGAAGGAAAACTGGGAATATGAAAGAGTTTTATAGCTTGGGGCGTAAGTTAGGGCAAGGACAATTTGGAACGACGTATTTATGTGTCGAGAAAGGCACCGGGAAAGAGTTTGCCGGCAAATCCATTGCCAAGAGGAAGCTGACCTCAGCCACCGAGCTGGATGACGTTAGAAGGGAAATTCATATTATGCACCGTCTAGCAGGTCACCCAAATGTGATACAAATCATAGGTGCTTATGAAGATGCTGTGGCTGTTTACGTTGTTATGGAGCTTTGTGCTGGCGGGGAGCTTTTCGATAGAATTATTCAAAGAGGGCATTATACCGAGAGAAAGGCGGTTGCACTCATAGTATAAAATAGCGGTTGTGACATATGTCGCGGTTGCGGATGCTACGGCCGTTATGTAACGTGTTGCGGGTGTCGCAGGCGTGATTTCTTCCTCAAAAATCACAATACTTCTAAAATATTTTATTGCGTTGCGTTAATATTGCGTCGTGGTGTCGGAACCGTCTTTCGGTTGGACCCGAAATTGGGCTTCGACTTAGGAAAATGGATTGGAGTCGCCACCGATCATTTATTTTAAAGCAAATAGGTCAACCGGATACCTTATTTCTTACTTGATCTGCGTCTTACCAGCGATGTGTCGGATTCGGGAGTCGGTTACAGTCAAGGAAGGGTTAGCACCCTTGAACTGCCCTTTCGGTACTGTGTAATTTCCAATTGTCTTAAATTAAGAAAGTTGTAAGTTTAACTTAAAAGGTAAAACAACGAGCCAAATTACTTACTTTTGACGAATTTGAAATTGTACCCTTAAAAAATCGAGAAACGTATTAACAGAAAAATGTAAAAATTAAAAATACAAATAAAGAGAGAAAAATAAATAAATAAATAAAATAGATAAAATAAATAAAACGAAGGAAAGTAATAATAATGATAATATATACATAGCAAACAACTAAATAAAAATAAGAAGCTAATGCAAATAAATAAATGAATAAATGAAAGAAATAAAAGGGAGATGAAAGATAGAAATAAAAGAAAAATAAAAAAGAAAGTAAAAATGAGTAAATAAAATAGAAAATTAAAATAGAAAAGAAAATAATAATAACAATAGAAATAATAAAAGAGTAAAAGAGTATAAAAAGAAATAAGTAAAATATATATATACATATATGAATAAAAAATTAATAATATTAAAAATAATACTAATAATAGTTATAATAAAAATAAATAGAAATAAAAATATAAAACAAATAGTAAAAATGACCATGACGGGATTAAATTAGAATGAAATCAACTTGGAGGGTCAAATCCAGAAGAATATCAGTGTTGAAATTGCGAATTTGGGACTAAAATGAAAGTTTCAAAAACAGTGGGGACCAAATCAGGAGTTAACCCGATTTCTTTCAAAAACTCGCGGATCCCCTATGGGCTCCGCTCGGGTCGGGTCGGTCTTAACGGGTTGCATATAACCCAAAACCCAGCAACACCTTTCTCCAAACTTCATTTGCCTCCAACAGATCAAACCCAAAAAAATAAAACACTATGTAATGTTCATGTGTGTTCATCGAATGGATGAACACGCCGTCGTGTTTCCCAAAACACGGCAAAATCAAAAGATTTTTTTTCCATTCGAAAGCCCCTCATATCCTCGTTTTGAAAATCAAAGTCGTTTCACAAAAACAATTAGCCTCGGGGGTAGATCTAAGATCTAAGGCTTCGAAAAGTACCCCCGGTCATCGACCTTTTTGAGTTTTTTCACAAATCTAGAGCAAACGAATGTAACATGCAAGCCAAGGAAACTGAAATCAAGGTAAAAATCTACCTATTATTTCATTTCGATTCGGTACAAAGCACTTCGAAATCTTGTTTGTATTTTTCGTGATTCGTATCAACTCTCTGTAAATCATGGTATATTATGTGTAGTGTGGTAAAACTCTCATGATTCTCTTTGATATGTTCCCCCCATTTGTGTGTGATTTACATAATATTTATAGCCCAAAATGGCTATTTTTAGAGTTTAAATTGGAGTAAAACACTGATGGATTGCTCTCGTTTGTTTTTTTACGTGTCCGAGAGTCCTAGTTGTTGGAGGCGAGACGTGCGGCGATGGGAGTCTTGCCGTGAAACTCGGTGTTGACTGCATGAGGGAACCCTGATTGCGGCACTGGGGTAAAGGCTTGCTAGGTTTTTTTGGAAACCCTAGGTGATCGTGTGTTGCTGTTGGATTTGGGTCTTGACTGGGCCACACGTGACTTTACTTTGGGTTGCATGTAATGGATCTGTACGAAATAAGAAATAAAATAAGATGTAAAGGAACATATATATATATATATATATATATATATATATATATATATATTATAACATTATATAATAATATTATAATTTAAGTGGATAAAATTCAGTGTCTTCAGCTGCCCCTCTTTGCTCATTATCGTGTAACGAAAATAGAGAAAAGATTAAAAGACACAAATTTCGTCTATATCGAATGTCCTCTGTCATAGAGTTGAAACTCGATATATGATTTTTTGAAATAACTCCCTCGTCGTAAGGTGAGACTTGTCTTGCAGACTTTGGTGTGGTTGTGTTGCGGATGATTCATTCGTCATGAAGTTGGGTCAATTTGTTGGGGTACGATGCCCTTAATTGTGAAGTTGGAATCATACATGCTTTGCTGCAAACGATGTTCCCTCGAAGCTGAGTGTAATCGAACTCGAGGGTCTTTGGCAGATAGCCGTTCTCGACTTAAGCTATGCTGCAAATGATGTGCCATTGATTTGAATGACATGATTTAGATGATTCTTCAAGAGAAGTTATCTCAAAAGAGACGGAATTCGTTTCTAGGGAAAACATCTCAAAGATATTTGTTGTTTTATGAGAAACGGTCTCAAGGTAAACAAAATTTTGTTTTAAGGGAAATAAGTTAAAAGATTTTGTGCTTCAAGAGAGACTGTCTCAAGAGAGACAAAAAAATTAAGAGAAAATGTCTCAAGAGAGACAAAATTTGTTTTAAAAGAAACTGTCTCAAGGGAGACAAAATTTGTTTCAAGAAAAACAGATTCAAAGATTTTGTTTCAAGGGAAACTGTCTCAAGAGAGACAAAACATTTTAAGAGAAAATGTCTCAAGAGAGACAAAATTTGTTTTAAAAGAAACTGTCTCAAGGGAGACGAAATTTATTTAAAGGAAAACAGATTCAAAGATTTTGTTTCAAGGGAAACTGTCTCAAGAGAGACAAAATTTGTTTTAAAAGAAACTGTCTCAAGGAAAATAGATTCAAAGATTTTGTTTCAAGGGAAACTTTCTCAAGAGAGACAAAATTTGTTTTAAGAGAAAATGTCTCAAGAGAGATAAAATTTGTTTTAAAGAAACTGTCTCAAGGGAGACAAAATTTGTTTCAAAGAAAACAGATTCAAAGATTTTGTTTCAAGGGAAATTGTGACAAATTTGTTTTAAGTAAATTAGTTTTGAGCGAGGTGACCCCTTGTTTCGAGAGAAACAATCTCAAAGGTGATCGATAATCTGCTTGTTCATCCATGTTAAAGAAAACCTTTCAGAAGCTTTAATCGTTGACTTAAGGAAGTCAAATCTGCGGATGACATGTTTGTTGTGACACTAGATCACCTCATCGGGCACAATATCCCTCTTCGTGAAGTTGAAATCGCGGATGACTCATTTGCTGTGAATTTGAGCTTTTAATCGGATGTCATTCTTTGTGAAGTTAAGATCCACATTTGTAAACTGCACTTCTTTTGAGTTCAATATCTTTCTCTGTGAAGTTGAAATTGACTTTAGGATGAATCCGCAAAATTATGCACATATGTGATGCTATGGATGCAATTCTCTTATGTGTGCCTAAAATGTATATGTGAAATATGTTATTTTAGGGTTCAGAGAGAAATCTCAATTTCTGGTTATTCGTCTCGATGACTCTTGATGCTGGAATCTTGAATTTCCGATTCTTGATCTTGGATTCTTCAATATGCTTAAATCCGATGTACATAATTTTGATATGTGAAGGGAATAATTGCGTGAGCAGTTTTAATTCTCTCAGTTTGTCTTCATTTCCACCAGGGTGTACTCTCGCAAACCTCAACCTAAGATAATTATCAAATTTTGCCCCAAAAATGGCTTCCTTTTCCCCAGCTTCAATCTTGAGCTTCGAAGGGATATCTATTGAATTCCAAGACATGTTTCCAGAGAACTTATCTTGTTTGAAAATGCTTTTCTTCCTTTGAAAAAGGAGTTTTAAAAAATATTACCTCATTCTAGGTTTCACAATTGAAGCAAATCATAAAACCGGAGTTCTTTGGATATCAAAAGAATCAAATGCTTTTTTAATCTTTGATGGCTGCAAACCTTTGACAAATATCAAGATTGAAAAGTTTGTTTAGAGATGGGTTATTAAGGTTTGTTTCATCGATTCGGTCATCATGAAGATCATGACATACCCTTTTTCTTGATTTGACATTTTGATCGGAGGCGAACAAAATGACACAATTAGCATAATTAATGGCTAGACCTTTCAGAATACTTCTGTTTCAGTTCTCTGAAATCTTCCATTTGTTCAAGTTTTGTAAGCTCCTATAACAAAGGTAGTGTAGAAATATCAGTCTAAAAATGAGATTATTGAGTGCTCGTGTGTATTTGACTATAACAGGTGTTCCTTAACTCCCTTAGTCCATTTTTACCGAAATTCCTTATTTAAATTTGCCATTGTCTGGCTAGCTGAATCCATAAAGCCGGGGCGTTTAACCAATTACTATAGAGGGACAGCTCAATATGTAAATACCTTTATCAGGTTAGCTGAATGTTATCCATAAAGCCGGGGCATTTAACCAATTACCTTATAGGGACAGCTCAAGATTTATTGTATAGTATAATAGCCTTTATCAGGCTAGCTGAATATCATCCATAAAGTCGGGGCATTTAACCAATTGCTTTAGAGGGACAACTCAAACTTTATTGTATATAAATAATATTATAATGTGGGTATACGGGTCCAATTTCTTAAGTTTGTTAAGAAGAACCTGTTATAGTCTAGGTATTTTTGAAGGTCAGAAAAGCTCCTCGTTAGAGTTCAATTCCCAAGCAACTGACCTAAACTAGATTCACCTACTTGACCATTCCATCTGAGAAGATCATGATCATCATTGAACGTCTTAAACAAAAGTATAAACAATTAGTTTCGCAATCTCATGTGCTAGTTGCCCCATTCTGTTCGCTCCTAACACATACCTGAATACTAAACCTTTGATGAACTCTTCATGTGAAGATAAAACTAGCTCGGTCCCTGTAAGAGAAGAGCGTGTAGTCTAAGTTTAAATTAAGACCAAGGGGTCTTTGTTTTGCAGGGTTTAATCTTGTCATTTGTCAAATATTTGCAACCTCAATTATTAAACAACTTTTAATTAAGGTGATATTCAAGGAATTCAAGATTAAAATTTGTTCATTTCCTCAGAAGAAAGCATTTTATTTAAAATGTTTAAAACGTCAAGTGACCACAAAAGAAAAACAATTTCAAAAAAGATGAGAAAACAACAAAACTCCTGATGGATGCCCCAATCAACTCGATCAGAATGCCTCATTACTCATTGAAAGTCAATGCCCCTGAATCGATCAGATCTTGGACCTTACGCTTCAATGCCCCACAGTTCTCAGTGGTGTGCCCTGAGCTCCCGATATGATAACTACATATGGCGTTAATATCATAGCCTTCAGGATATGGGGCCTCTCTAGGTTTGGACTGAACCAGAGTCACAAGATTCTTCTCAACTAGCGTTGGGAGAAACTCCTCATATGTCATTGGGATTAGACTTATGTTAGTCTTTTTATGGAAGACATTATGAGGTCTAATCCAAAATTAGTCAGGTAAGATTCCCTTTCGTTCCTTGGTTCTCTTTGAGTTTGTTTAGAAGTACTGGATGGTACAACTGCAGTGGTTGAGATCGTAACACCTTTGTTAGAGTTGTAGATGTTGATATTGTTGATCTCTCGCTCTTTGTTCTTCATGAGAGACTTCTCACTAGAGTCATTTCCCTCATTCTTTCCTTGTTTTATAGCTAGCTTGATCATCTCACCAGCCATAACTATATCTGAGAAACTTCCCGATGTGATTGCCACCAGGTGCCCAAAGTAAGGTGTCTTCATGGTTTATACAAACAGCTTCTTGGTTTTCTTTTCATCCAAAGGTGGATGAACTTGCACAGCCAAATCCCTCCATCGTTGTGTGTATTGTCGGAAACTTTCATTGTGCTTTTTCTTCAGGCTTTGTAGCATAACCCGGTCTGGTCTCATATCGTTAATATGCTTGTATTGCTCCAAGAAAGACTTGGCTAAGTCTTTCCATGTCTTAATATGAGTTCGGCTGAGCTGGTTGTACCACCAAATAGCTGAACCGGAGAGGATTTCCTGGAAACAGTGGATCAAGAGTTGGTCATTTCCCCCCATATCCCATCATTTTTCGATAGAACATAGTGATGTGGGTTGAGGGACAGTTGTTCCCATCGAACTTCTCGAACTACGGGACCTTAAACTTTGGTGGAAGCACCAAATCTGGAACTAGGCTCAGCTCCATTGCGTCCACTTCAGAATAATTATGGTCTCCTTGGACCATCTTCATCTGATCTTCCAGCATTCTGATATTCTCTGGCATCTTTTTTGCTTTGTCCTCTTCATCGAAATCCGGGATATTGTAATCATCCGGATGGTTGCCAGGACAGGTTGTGGAAGTTTGCCCCTTCGCAGCAGATGATGCTTTTACTTTGGTAGCAGAAGAGTTTTCTTGCGGTCCGGGTATGATCCCGGGTGAAATAACTACCTGCGGAGTCGGTGATATGGTTACCCCCTCAGACGCACCTACTACGGGTGCACTTTCTTGTTGTTATAAACTAGACAACTTAGCCACGATTTGGTCAACTAAGGACTCCTGGCTTCTCGTGATGGAATCCAGGGTACTCTTATTGTTCTGAGCCATTTTATCTTCTAGCTCTCTCTACAATTTTGTCATATTCTCTTCGATTTGAATGACTCTGGCCTCCATTCGCCTCTTTTTCAAGCGAGTGTTATGCGGATGAGGTGTGTCTAACGCTTGAGGTGGTGTATCCAGTATTTATTCCCTTTTATTGAAGCATTCTTCCGTTAGTTAATGTGAATGCAAAGAGAATAACAAAATGCAAAGTATGTCTAAACGCATGATGCGTGAAATATCCAAGGCATTGATCCAAAAAATGTGCTTGTTATTATGAATAACCCTTATTGGGGACAAAAATGTTTTATCTTTTAAGAGACAAAAATATCCTGACAGCTTCTGACAGTTTGACTAGTCTTCTGCCTTCGTCCGTCACCGATTGAATAATATGTCGTACCGCTCCGGCTTCTCTGGATGAACCATGCAAATGTTGAGTTACTTTTTGTATTGGCCCAAGAAGTCTCGAATGACTGCATCTCGGGTATTTATCTTTTGTTGAGTATGTTCCCAACGAATACGTCATTGGAGCCCTCAATTGATAAGAACTATGTGAAGTTTATTTGCATGTTTCTTGAATTCGTTAGTAATGGTTTCCAATTTTCAACTATCCATTGTTGTCTTTGAAGGGACTCCCAAGACAGTGACCTTTATCTTGCCCCTGCAACGTCTGTCAGTCAGTTCTTCCAAGATAGACCTTCAATGTGCTTAAGGTAGACCAGATTCATTCTGAGTCCTTTATAAAGTAGTATAGTGATATATTCTTCAATTGTGGGTGCCACACCTTATGAATGTGACACATAGTTGCCTTGTAGACTGTCCTCTGTATTTTCATCTCTTGTATTACAACCCCTTTGTCCATTAGTTCAGGTTATTTTGTGTATAACAAACACCTTTTTAGGGATTAATGACCTCTTGTTATGATGCAAATACTAATAAAATAAACATAAAGGCAAAAAGTTAGTGAATAAATAAACCCAAAAAGATGACAAAAGAAAGAAAGAAGAGTAGGAGGGGAAAAAACATCATGGTTAGGGTAAAAATGTCCTAGGTTTGAAATGGGGTTTTGGGGTAGGCTCTATTTCCCCATAGCCTCCCGGTTTAGGTTCTAAAAATGGTACCCGAGTTCTCCTTGACGGCGCCCCCTTGGGATTACCAGACCCTTAGTTCTAAGCCTATTATATGCTTGTGTGGACTAAGTTAAACTCGAGAGGACAAATTCCCTTATGCCCATACCGAGAATAAATTCACACGAAGGCATAAGGTATATGAATCCCTGAAGGTTACTTGCTAGGCCCATACGGTGAATAAATTCACACGAAGGTGTCGCTTTTACCCCCACTTAATATGGGTTTGGAGCTCGAGTTTAGAGCCTTAGATGAAAACTCTTTAAGGGCTGAAATCATGAGAAAACGGTTAGTACAACTATTTACTTGAAAAATATAATCAAAAGTAAGCAATAAGGATCAAAATGTTGCCTTAAAATTTAAACTTACCCTTTTCGTTAAAAAGACAACTGGAAATTACCTTAGCCTGACTCACTTACTTTGTCCCCAGCAGAGTCGCCAAGCTGTCAGAACCGTCTTTCGGTTGGGCCTGAAATTGAGCTTCGACTTAGGAAAATGGATTGGAGTCGCCACCGATCATTTATTTTAAAGCAAATAGGTCGACCGGATACCTTATTTCTTACCTGATCTGCGTCTTACCAGCGATGTGTCGGATTCGGGAGTCGATTACAATCAAAGAAGGGTTAGTACCCTTGAACTGCCCTTTCGGTACTGTGTAATTTCCAGTTTGTCTTAAATTAAGAAAGTTGTAAGTTTAACTTAAAAGGTAAAATAACGAGCCAAATTACTTACCTTTGACGAATTTGAAATTGTACCCTTAAAAAACCGAGAAATGTATTAACAGAAAAATGTAAAAAATAAAAATACAAATAAAGAGAGAAAAGTAAATAAATAAAATAGATAAAAAATAAAAAAAAAAAGGAAAGTAATAATAATGATAATATATACATAGAAAACAACTAAATAAAAATAAGAAGCTAATGCAAATAAATAAATGAATAAATAAAAGAAATAAAAGGGAGATGAAAGATACAAATAAAAGAAAAATAAAAAAGAACGTAAAAATGAGTAAATAAAATATAAAAGTAAAATAGAAAAGAAATAACAATAACAATAGAAATAATAAAATAGTAAAAGAGTATAAAAAGAAATAAGTAAAATATATATATACATAGATGAATAAAAAATAATAATATTAAAAATAATACTAATAATAGTTATAATAAAAATAAATAAAAATATAAATATAAAACAAATAGTAAATATGACCATGGCGGGATTAAATTGGAATGAAATCAACTTGGAGGGTCAAATCCATAAGAATATCAGCGTTGAAATTGCGAATTTGAAACTAAAATGAAAGTTTAAAAAATAGTGGGGACCAAATCAGGGGTTAACCCGATTTCTTTCAAAAACACAGGCTCGGGTCGGTCTTAACAAGTTACATATAACCCAAAACCCAGCAACACCTTTCTCCAAACTTTATATGCCTCCAATAGATCAAATCCAAAAATATAAAACACTCTGTAATGTTCATGTGTGTTCATCGAATGGATGAACACGCCGCCGTGTTTCCCAGAACACGACCTTTTGTTGCCTCATCGACCGCCATTGACCGGCGCCGACCGCAAAATCAAAAGATTTTTTTGCCATTCGAAATCCCCTCATCTCCTCATTTTGAAAATCAAAGTCGTTTCATAAAAACAATTAGCCTCGGGGGTAAATCTAAGATCTAAGGCTTCGAAAAGTACCTTGGTCATCAGCCTTTTTGAGTTTTTTCACAAATCTAGAGCAAACGGATGTAACATGCAAGCCAAGGAAACTGAAATCAAGGTAAAAATCTACCTATTATTTCACTTCGATTCGGTACAAAGCACTTCAAAATCTTGCTTGTATTTTTCGTGATTCGTATCAACTCTCTGTAAATCGTAGTATATTGTGTGTAGTGTGGTAAAACTCTCGTGATTCTCTCTGATATGTTCCCCCCATTTGTGTGTGATTTAAATAATATTTATATCCCAAAATGGCTATTTTTAGAGTTTAAATTGGAGTAAAACACTGATGGATTGCTCTCGTTTGTTTCTGTTGAAAACATTTTGATATTTCGATATAACAAATTAAGTTAAATGAATTTTAAGATTTTCCAAATGATTTTCTAAGTATATTCGATATAACTATTCAAATATCAAAACATTACTCCAAATCTTTTAAAGATCATTTTTAATCCTTACTGAAGTGTAAAATTAAGTTTTAAT